TCCACGCAATTTTGTTACTAGTCTCACAAAGAAAGATTATTGATCGCGGATTAAGATGAATCTAATACGTATCTGCCGTGAAGAAAATTCTCTCTTACTGTGTTCCGTGGGCAGATAAAGTATAGCTCAAAGAAAATATTGATAGCGAAATAACAAAGAAACGTGTAAAAAACGAAGCTCGCAAAGAAATATATGATCCATAGCGCAAAGCAGGATTAAAAGAGAAGATTTCTTCAGTAGCATTTGAGGTTTTCAAGGCGGTGAGTCTGAAGATGGCTGTCTTATAGTTTGTTGCGTAATGTAGTCTGGTAGAAGTTTACCTACTTTTCAGAGGTATTTTCTGCCTCCATCATCGGGGGTACTCATCGCCCTGATGATGGAGGTAACCATGTCGGCGAATTACAACCGGACTACACGGCCCAACAACCCAGAAGACAGCCATCTTCAAGTTTGTTAAGTCTTTTAGACAGATCTATTTCAACAATCTGATCTACAGTAAATGTTTTCCGGTGTCTATACTCATAAATTTTATTGCGTACAAACTGTTCACACTTGCTTGTAGTGAGTTACATGAAGGTGAACTTTAATGCAGTCTAATTATTCCACGTACTCAATATTAACGAGAATTACGATTATTACAATTTGTACTCTGAGGAATATTTGTTGTCCGATACGTAGCGAAATGAAATTCACCTACTATCCTCACTACACGCCTTGAAAGCGCTTCGGGGAGGAGAGATGGGATGGTTAGATGTTAGATCGCAGATGGTGCTTGACAGGCTGACAAAGAAAGATTTCCCGGGATGCTTCCAGGCTTGGCAGCGGCGCTGGGATCGTTGTGTTCACTCCCAGGGGAACTACTTCGAGGGTGATGGATGAATTTAATACCTGAGATAAGTGTACGGGTTTTTATACGCGCAGTCTTGAAACTTTCCGATCGCACCTCGTGTGAATAGGTCTTTCTAGAGGTCTCCTCCCTTCAGGCCTCCCTTCCCCCGTGCATGCCGCATGTTCCACCTACCTCATCCTCCTCGATTTAATCACCTGAACGTCAGGTCATGCAATTTTCTCCATGATCCGTCTCCCTAACCTTTTGGGTCAAAATATCCTCCTCGAAACACTGTTCTCAGAAACCCTGAGTCTCTGCCCCTCTCTCAAAGTGAGAGACCAAGTTTCGCACCCATACAGCACAACATCTTTAGTTTCTTTTTATATGAGACGAGAGGACAAAAGATTTTGGACTAAATGATAGCGAATTTTGTCACATTTTTGAATGATTCGTCAGCTGTCCATTTATTCTGGTTCTGTCCTGAATTCTCGTGCCAAAGACGTGATCACGTACTTCGTCTTTTCTGCATTTATTTCGAGACCAATAATAAGAGTATTTCTGTATTTGTTTTTATGTTATTTATATTATCACCCCCAACAGATTAATATCATCAGCACAGACCAAAAGCTGACGTGTCCCATTCACTTCCAAACCGCCCTGATTTCTTTTTACGTTTCTAATGCAAAATTAAAAAGCAGTGACAGTAAAGCATCTCCTTGTTTCAGATCGTTCTGAATAGGAAATATATCATAAAAATATTTACTTACGTGAATTTTGCTACGGGTTTCACTGAACGCAATTTAATTAGCCTTTTTAGGTTCTTAGGTACACCAGAATCGAGCAAAATGTTGTAAGAGCTTCTCTTTTAACTGAGTCGTAGACTTCCTTGAGATCTAGAAATAGTTGACGTACTCTCGTTTTTTCTCTAGTGCGAGGCGCGTCCTCAAAGTAAGTTTCCCTGGGGCCGTTTACAGAAACAAAACACAATTTCATGGAAATATTTATTGCAACAGATACAGCAAGTGTCCAGCTATTTTTCAACATATTCGCCACCGGAATTGAGACATTGGTCATACCGTGGGACCAACTTTTGAATACCTGTGTCGTAGAAGTCGCCCGCCTGGGATTGGAACCACTGTGTGACAACCATCTCCGCCTCTCTGTCATTCTCAAAACGCTGACGCTGACCGGACAGGAATTTCTTGAGGTGTAGGAAAAGATGGAAATCACTGGGAGCGAGATCCGGGCTGTAGGGTGAATGATTAAACACCTCCCAGCTAAACTCCTGCAGGAGACTTGCTGTCCGTCGAGCCGGGTGCGGCCTAGCGTTATCACTGACCGCACTTCACAGGCGGCGGGAGCTGGAATAAGAACCTCCATCTTCAACAGCTGCAACGATGCTACTGTAAGAACGCGGGAAGTACCGTTAGTGCATGCGCCATGCTACGTCATTGCTCTATCACGTACGCACAGTCGCTTCGCACAATATAAGGTTTGCTAGCTGTGGGACGAGTGGGAAACTTACTTTGTGGACGCGCCTCGTAAAATGGAACTCTAAAGAAACGTTTAATGTAATTTCGAATGTTTACTCTTTTCTGCATATACGAGGAAAGGCGAAACAGTATTCCCGTCTTTTCGTACTCACATCTTGAGTCACTGAATTCATTTGTGTCATCAATTATTTTAATTTTATCAGCAAAATTCTTCTGTAACGAATGCCTATGTTGAACTGAGCGTCGAAATGTAGTAATTATTTTGTGATTGAGGTTAGGAAAGTATTAATTTTGAATCTAATTTCGGAGACAGGTTTATCGCGATGTTATTTGAGAATATTCTACGCCTTTTCAGTACACATTTTACTATTTTGTATTTATTTTCCTGATACAATTATTGCACAGTGAATTAATTGTACTGTAGTTTTTATAAGACGACTAAATACTTTCTTAGATGCATGTAATCGACATAAATAAAATTTGACGGTTTATTACGAGTGACGGCTTTAAAATAGGTTACGAATTCGACTGCTAAATTTAGTCAGAATTGTGTTTGCTCATAACGACCGAAGGAAGTTATGGAGGATTATGTATGTACTTCAGATTTTTTGGAACATTTGACAAAATTAGTGTATCAGCATGTTAATAAAAACAATGGAATTAAACGACTTTATGTTCTGGAAATAACGTCTGAGAACCGGGTTACAAAATTGTTCTTCCAATAATTTCCGAAGCGTAGAAGTTGCCTGGGAGTCCGATATCAATATTCAAAAAATCAGAGGTAGAAGCCAAGAGTTTAACCGTCAATCTAATGTTGAAAACTAAATACTAAGAGGCCACCTGGGAACAGGGCGATCGTGGGAGGACATTAGCAAATGATACAGAAGAATAGTTTATTAAAATGTGAACTGGATTCAATTGCTATGTAAATGGTCAGATTCTAAAATGACGTCAGTGACCTGCTTTGGGACTTGCCGATAAAAGATTAACAACAGAACCTTCCAGGCTTGGCAGCGGCGCTGGGATCGTTGTGTTCACTCCCAGGGGAACTACTTCGAGGGTGATGGATGAATTTAATACCTGAGATAAGTGTACGGGTTTTTATACGCGCAGTCTTGAAACTTTCCGATCGCACCTCGTAAGTAAAGTAAGCATTGGATAGGAGGCTGGGTGGGCCACAGAGCAGGTCTGGATGCAGAGTCTCTAGAGGAAAAATCCTCGTGAGACCAACTTTATTTATCATGAGGGAAGCTTTCGTAATAATGAAAGAGCCTCTTAACCTCGACTGTGGAGACTTTTACGGCTGAACCACGTGTGTGCTGACGGACATTCCGCAACTTTGGTTTTGTCTTCTATGTTTTATCCTTCAAGTCCTACTTCCTGTTTCGTAAAGAGAAAATATTTTTATCTACTCACACGGTCACCAATTACGAAACTGCACTGAATTCCTAACCTCATTTTTACCATCAGTTTGTGTGTCTCTTGGAACATGATCCAGAAGACGTATTTAAAACAGTTTTTGGGGTGAACACTGATTTCTGTTGTGTTCTGTGATTTATAAAATGCAATTTTTTAAATGGTTCGATCTCTACAGCGAAAGCTTCTATTTGATAAGATTTTAAATTTTAACTGTCGTGATTAACAGAGGAACATTTCAATTAAAAGATTAAAAACAAACATCTCAGTTTACTCTGTAATAAATAATTTAGATGTAATGGGATGATTTTTAAATTCTGTTTGCTGATCGAACCCTGTAATGATTGTGCGTTAGTTAACTAATAGAGATAAACCTAACCTAACCCGCACAAAATAAACGGACACTTTCGTTAGTGTTTTTAAGAATGGAGAGTAATTATTAGTTTTTGTTTTAAACACTAACACATTTTATAAGCACGTGATCACAAAAGATTTTATTACGAGGCGCGTCCTCAAAGTAAGTTTTCCTGGTTCCGTTTACAGAAACAAAACACAATTTCATGTAAATATTTATTGCAACAGATACAGCAAGTGTCCAGCTATTTTTCAACATATTCGCCACCGGAATTGAGACATTTGTCATACCGTGGGACCAACTTTTGAATACCTGTGTCGTAGAAGTCTGCCGCCTGGGATTGGAACCACTGTGTGACCACCATCTCCGCCTCTCTGTCATTCTCAAAACGCTGACGCTGACGCTGACCGGACAGGAATTTCTTGAGGTGTAGGAAAAGATGGAAATCACTGGGAGCGAGGTCCGGGCTGTAGGGTGGATGATTAAACACCTCCCAGCTGAACTCCTGCAGGAGACTTGCTGTCCGTCGAGTCGTGTGCGGCCTAGCGTTATCACTGACCGCACTTCACAGTCGGCGGGGGCTGGAATAAGAACCTCCATCTTCAACAGCTGCAACGATGCTACTGTGAGAACGCGGGAAGTGCCGTTAGTGCATGTGCCATGCTACGTCATTGCTCTATCACGTACGCACAGTCGCTTCGCGCAATATAAGGTTTGCTAGCTGTGGGACGAGTGGGAAACTTACTTTGTGGACGCGCCTCGTAATTTACGTTGGATTCATATAACATGACAAACAGATGGGACGAATGTTTGGTGTCGACTGTTCGTAGTCACTGAAATAAGGCAAATTCGCATTCTGAGAAAATTTTGCGTACAGTTTTGAGAATTAAACGCTGGTTTTGCGCAGGTATGAAAGTGAAGCCTTGCAATGGAGAACCCCCATTGGCTGACCCAGACACAAGACGGGAGTTTGACTGTGGGAGTGGACCAAACAGACAAGACTGTCCTTCGGGGAGTTACTGCCATCAGACACCTCACTTTGCACGATGTTGTAAGAAAGGTAAGGGGACTTTAGGTCGGGGGCTCTGCTCATTTAACAAAAAAAAATTTTTTGTTCTCGAACGTAAGGCAACGTAACAGACGGAAAATGTTTCCTTCTGCCTTAAATTCAATACTAAACCAACATCCCCAGTTATTACACGAGCATTACTACATTTTTTATGTTATTATTCTTATATCTTTACTTAATTATCGTCTTTCATTACCGTCTGTTATGATATTTTCTTTCAGAATGGAAATTTATTTACGTCGAAAAATTCTTCTATTCTCTTGTTTGTATGTTCATTACTGCATTTCGTCTCTGAACTGGAACAGAATCTGTCAAAAAATCAGTAGCGTCAATGTTTGTTAAATACATCGCATACGAACCAGAGATGTTTAAATTTTCAGGTGGTTTAGGGAGATGCTGAAAAGATTTATCATTTTACTGTCAGATTCATCTGTGTCTGGCGTATTTCTAAGGCAAAAATTTAAATATACTGTTAATGTACAAATATCACGCCTCCGTACAGAATTTTTTTTTAAATTACTGCATTTTATTTACAAATCTGGAATTTTCATTACATTTTCATTCTTGTATCATAAAATTTGAGTTCATAGAGAATTGTACAAATGAATTTCTAGAGTTATGAGGAGCTTATGTTAGTCAAACTTTCGCAGATTCACTTTAAGTACGTATCACAGTTGTGTGATTCAATTAGAATTACGTTGAGTTCGTTGACATTTGAATAAAGAATTATATTATTTGTCAGCATCATAATGACTGCTGTCTTACGCCCTTAAGTTTACAGAACTTTTTTGAAATTTGGAAATGAAAGGCACATCTGAACCTCCTAGTTGCGTTGTTGGTCGTAAACTTTGTACTATTCATGCTCTCGTCCTCACACATTCCATTTAAGTTCAGTCACTGGGAGATCCAAACTGGTCTCTTATGCTTTGCTTACGTCTCATTATGAATCTGGTTTTTGTTCGCGGTTCTGGTTCACGTTACACTGCACATTGCACCATCCTTCCCGTCTCCTTCAGACTCACAAAGAGTTCACAGTAGTGATCCCTGCCGTCCCGTGTTCATTACGACAATCCTGATTTCATTGACTTCATCCGGGTGTCTCAGCTCGGATGTTACATTATCAAGATTTCTGTCAAAAACCCATAACTAACTAACTATCTAGAGGGCTTACCGAACCCGAAGGTTCATCACCGAATTAACCAAAATCCCTGTCCTGGGCCAACAAAATCCAGTCTCCTTCAACTCCGATCTCCCATAGATCCTGCCTGACATTATCCTCCCATCTACGTCTAGGTCTCCCCAGAGGTCTCTTCCCCTCAGGCTTCCCAACCAAAACCCTCTTGTCCCATCCATGCGCGCTACATGCCCAGCCCATCTCATTCTCCTCGACTCAAAAACCCATTGCTTTGGAAATACATAAAAATTCTTTTTGTTCACCGGAATTAGTTTCGAACTTTCTCAAAACTTTTATACGAAATCCCTGTCACGACGTCTTTGCGTCATTTTGACCGCTGCGTGCGGTGAAACATAATGCTCTAGTTCCCCCACTCTCAGGTTTAGAGCGTCAGTAGTTGTTCCTTTTCCGGAATTATAAGCGTGACAAGTATTTCCATTTTCTGTTTGTGCAGACATGAACGCAAACCACAAAAGCTGCGAAGACTCGTGGTTCGGCTGCTGTCCCGATGGGAAGACTTCTGCACTGGGGGCGGACAACGCTGGTTGTCCTTCCATGTGCGGCTGTAATAAACTCGGTAAGTTCGTACATGGCAAATATTGCCTAATTAGAGTCGACAATTTTCTTTTATTCATTTTAAAAACCTTAAAGTAAAATGGTCTCGTATGTCCTTAGGCACAGTGGACGGGAGGCTTCTGTAACTCTGGGGAATTAATCCACCAGTAGCCCCGTGCCCAGAGCAAAACACAGAGAGATCTCATGATAATCGCCTCATTTCAGTGAATATTGTATCAAGACGCCGATTATCTTTGGAACTTAATATCCTAGCATGTTGATGGTTCCGTCACAGTCAACTACAGGCTTCTTTCTGTTCTGAAGAAACCACCCGATGCACGAAACACGACGGCTTTTTCTGAAGGCGAATGCCCAGGGAATATCAGTCAGATAGACAACTTTAAATAGGTCATGAAGTGTGTTGATCACGATAGCTAAAATTTTTTTTAATTCTGACGACAGGTCCATATGAACAGGCTCCTTCCATCCTTTTCTCGGACTGGGACCTGATCCAGAAGTGGTTTGCCATTGCCTTCTTCTGTGTGTGAATGGAGTAATTGTTGGGATGCCACGGAGGAAAACTCCGTGTTGCCTAGACCACGGCCTTGCCCCACACAAGTTATAAATTCGGGCACCGCCGGGAATCGAACCCGAGACCCCCCCCCAGGATTACAAGGCGAACCAGTACCCAGTTGTTACGACAGTCATCCCGAGACCCCAGGATTACAAGGCGAGCCAGTACCCAGTTGTTACGACAGTCATAGTGGAATGAGTTGCCTCGGTGGTCGCTACGACTGACGTGCATTGATGAGATGTCTAGAACGTCATCTTCCTGTTTCAGGGTCTTACTCAGACACCTGTGATCCCGTAAGTCAGCAATGTTCGTGTAAACCAGGAGTGGGTGGACTCAAGTGTGATCGATGTGAACCAGGATTCTGGGGTCTTCCCAAAATATCTGAGGGATATCAGGGATGCATTCGTGAGTATTGAGACTACACAAGGTTTTCAGCGCTGTCCTTCAGATTTTAGAGCAAATCCGTAGTTTCCTGCGAACTTTAAACGCCAACCAAATAGTTCACTTCGACGGAAAGTCATTTCGATTCTGTATTTGTTTTTGTGTTATTCAGATGAAGAAACTTACTTTTGTATCGAGTAATTTACGTAATATTTGCAGGTCTTAGTCGATGTTGTTGGTTTATACAGCGTTATTACGCGATTATCTTTTTTTAAGTAAGAATTTATTGGGAAAAAGTCCTGATTCGTCATTTTAATAAAACTTCTGACGTGTCCTCGAGTAATTACTGTAATCAGTATTTAGATTATCGGATTTCTGCTTCGTAACAAAAATCTCCATGTGATCGCAGTCTCATGTCTGGAATTCTCCATCTGAAATTTGAGATTCACGTTGATTGTGGATCTGATAGAAAGATATTTTACATCGAAACACTTGCTTCGATTTTCAGCGTGTGGTTGTTCGTCGTTTGGGTCCGTACGAGACGACTGTGAACAGATGACAGGACGTTGCGTGTGTAAGCCAGGAATTCAGGGGCAGAAATGTACAGTATGTACAGGTCATAACAAGATCCTGGGGCCTACTGGATGTGTCTCTGGTAAGCTCTGTCGCCGGAATTGGGCGTTACGAGAAAAGAATTAGAAATTCTCAGACCTAGACCTCATGACGTGGCGTGGTTTTCCAGCTGACTCGACAACGCCTGTGCCTGGTTCGTGCGCGGAACTAGCGTGTTATTTCGGTGCGTCCTGCGAGGAACACCGTCCCGGACACGCAGAGTGTGTGTGTCGTTCAACCTGCGCAGATGAAGACTCTGGTGGCTCTCGTGTCGTCTGCGGTAATGACAGGCAGACGTATGGCTCGGAGTGTCAGCTCAAACTCTTCGCCTGTCGCTACCAGAAGGACATCGTCGTTCAGGCACTTGGATCTTGTACAGGTCAGAATTAATATGAATATTTTCGTACTTTCTCTGTTTGCTGCTGTATGAATTATTTCTGATAAAAAAAAATTTTGTGTAATTTTTTTTTGAAAAGTCCCTTAAAATCTTATCTGATAATATAACCTAACCTAACGTAACGTAACGTAACCTAACCTAACCCAAACCTAACCTAACTTAACCTAACTTAACCTAACCTAACCCTAACCTAACTTAACCTAACGTAACCTAACCTAACCCAAACCTAACCTAACTTAACCTAACTTAACCTAACCTAACCCTAACCTAACTTAACCTAACGTAACCTAACCTAACCCAAACCTAACCTAACTTAACCTAACTTAACCTAACCTAACCCTAACCTAACTTAACCTAACGTAACCTAACCTAACCCAAACCTAACCTAACTTAACCTAACTTAACCTAACCTAACCCTAACCTAACTTAACCTAACGTAACCTAACCTAACCCAAACCTAACCTAACTTAACCTAACTTAACCTAACCTAACCCTAACCTAACTTAACCTAACGTAACCTAACCTAACCCAAACCTAACCTAACTTAACCTAACTTAACCTAACCTAACCCTAACCTAACTTAACCTAACGTAACCTAACCTAACCCAAACCTAACCTAACTTAACCTAACTTAACCTAACCTAACCCTAACCTAACTTAACCTAACGTAACCTAACCTAACCCAAACCTAACCTAACTTAACCTAACTTAACCTAACCTAACCCTAACCTAACTTAACCTAACGTAACCTAACCTAACCCAAACCTAACCTAACTTAACCTAACTTAACCTAACCTAACCTAATCTATAATTGAATTATCTTATGACACGTCCCGTTATTGGATTTCTGCGTGAAACGTGGCATATTATAAGACAAGGGTATCTGTTGTAATATAATTAGGAATGATTAATATTTTACGACTAATGTTTGTCACTTTCAGTTTCTTCTCTCAAGAGAAGTATGGAGCATCGACACACGGGAACAGTTAAATGTATAATACAACCGACTAAAAGTCATTTCATTTTGAATTTGTAATCATTATGATTGAAAGGTCAATGTAAAATTTTATGTCTCGATGGTAGATTATAAACTAACCTACAAATGTTCTTAGAACTCTTTGCTTTTGTTATAATGTAACAAAAAAAATGTAGAAATATTTTAAAATTTTGAGGTTATGTCTACAAACTTTGAGGCACTTAAAATCTCTATCAGCGTAACTACTGTAGAAGACTGAAATTGATCTTGAAGAAACTTTGACATTGGATTAATCTGGCCCGGGATAGATGGTTGTCGAGTTGTATAATTAAGTTAAAACATATTTTAATCTTTAAAGTAAGAAACTTGGTGTGTATTATACGATGATGTATCATTATTATAGTAAGGAGTAGGACAAATGGAACTTTTATGGCATTTTTAGAAGGCATGTTCCCGGGGACGGAATGGCCGCTGCGACGTTCGACTGCCCACCGCTTCACAGAACCGGAGGACGTAAGCTCACCACTGTACAAGTCGACACGCCATTTGCTGGTGCCAGACCCCCCGAACTACCGCTACTACTATACCAGTCGCAACCAGGATGAATCAAACAGCCTCACGTCTCAGTCGTTACACCAACTGGGATCTGGATATATGCACAGTGGCAATGGTAGGATAAGAAATGTGTATCAGATGACTTAACAGAGGTTAACCAGCTGATTTTCGTAATGGTGAGGTGTAGTGTTTTCTTCGCGGTACGGACTGAATTCTTAAATGTAATTAAAGCGAGTTTCGGCTTCAAAGGGTAAACCAGTTGATCTTCGTAATGGTGAGGCGTAGTGTTTTCTTCGCGGTACGGACTGGATTCTTAAATACGTAATATTTAGACGAGCTTTGACTTCAAAGGGTAAACCAGCTGATTTTCGTAATGGTGAGGTGTAGTGTTTTCTTCGCGGTACGGACTGAATTCTTAAATACGTAATATTTAGACGAGCTTTGACTTCAAAGGGTAAACAAGCTGATTTTCGTAATGTAATAGTAACGTGTTCACGGCTGATACGGCCTTATGAATAAGTCCAGGGATCTGAAGCTTTTCTCTGTCTTTGCAGACGTTTACTCTGCAGCTGGCTACCGTCCAACTCCTGCCACGATTCACGTGATAACAGCACTGTTAGGGGATTTGTGCATCGTTGATTCGGACTGTGGAGTTAAGTATAGTCGCTGTGTTGGTGGGGGCTGCGTGTGCAATGAGGGATACGCTGAGACGCCTGACAGGCAGGAGTGCCTTGGTGAGAATATTCAGAGCGTAGCAATATTTTTCTCAAATATTTCGTGAATTTCGTATCATAAATTTGATTCGATCTGTGTCTCGCCGCTAGACATAGGTTGTATAAATTTTTTTTAAACCGTCTGAATACAAGGCAGTCAATTTAAACGTAATGTAGGATTTTAAGAGTTAGAACTAATTTTTGTGATCGTGTTTATCAAAAATAGTACGCGTAATTCAAAATCTTTTGAGTTACGTAGTACTGAGAGCGGTTGGGCGACGTGACTCTGCTTTGTTATGTGTTCCGTGTACAAAGTTTTTAGGTTATGTTTCTTTAGAATCGGGATTTGGGGAAATACAGTCATGTGTTGCGATGGTCTTGCAGCTAACATGCCACCTGTTCATCCGACAATAGAATTCAGAGTCTGCGCGTCACGACCTTGCCAAAATGGCGGAACGTGTTTCGACATGACTCATGGCTCCTTCAGCTGCCAGTGCGAGTCTCATTGGACAGGATCGCAGTGCGAAGATCCGGTCATACAGCGAGGTAACCGCTCGTCGTTCTCATGAACTCTTTAGTGAAATATTTTTTTAAGGTAAATTGGTAACTTGGATATGTAACTCGTGCGTGTGGACTTGAAGAGAAATTCTGGTAACTATCTTTAAAAGTCCGCGTAATATTAGAACCCAGGTGACCGACATCGACGTCTTTGTCGTGCGAATGCGTTGTTTTGTGTTTTCTAGCCTACGACATACCTGCGTTTGATGGCCGATCGTACGTACGACTCAAACGACTGAAGGCTTACAACAAACTGAGTCTCGAAGTGGAGTTTAAGACGTACGCTAACGACGGGATTATTCTGTACAACCAGCAGAAGGAAGACGGAACTGGAGACTTTGTGTCTCTCGGTTTAGTAAATGGGTAAGTTGGACTTACTCTCTGTCTCCTGTGTCTTTATTTCATCTCGGATACGCATTTTGTTCTGTTGCTATTTTCAGGTACCTGAAGTATTTTATTTTTTTAAAGCACGTGTTCGTTGCTTTCGTATTATGATTTTGTCCTGTACGAGGTGCGATCGGAAAGTTTCAGACTGTGTCAATAGAGGGCGAACCGGATGTA